GTATAAGCCACATAAACCGTGAAATGTTATACGGTTCATACGGTTTTATACGGTTTTTCACGGTTTTTTGCAATTTGGGCTCTGCCTGGCCCCAGCAGAAAAAGCCACAAAACCGCAAAAAAACGCAAAAAAAACGTAAAAACACCGTATAAACCATATACTGCGGAACAGCTTCCCCCAAGCCAGCGATCCCAAAACCGCAAAAAAACGTATAAACCGTAAAAAAATTTTGCGGTTTTATACGTTTTTTTGCGTTTTTTTGCGGTTTTGTGGCTTTTCCTGGCTGAGGCCAGGTCGCAAAAAACCGTGAAAAACGTATAAAACCGTATAAACCGTATAACCTTTCACGGTTCATGTGGTTTATACGGTTTATACGGTTTTTTGCGGTTTTGGGTCTGCCTGGGTCCGGATTCCAGCCTCTGAGCCACAAAACCGCCAAAAAACGCAAAAAACCGTAAAAAAACGTATAAACCATATACTGCGGAGCAGCTTCCCCCAAGCCAGCGATCCCAAAACCGCGAAAAACCGTATAAACGGTATAAACCGCAAAAATTGTTTACGGTTTTATACGTTTTTTGCGGTTTTTTGCAGTTTTGTGGCTCAGAGGCTGGGGCCAGGCAGAGCCCAAACCGCAAAAAAACGTATAAAACCGTATAAACCGTATAACCTTTCACGGTTTATGTGGTTTATGTGGTTTATACGGTTTTTTGCGGTTTTGGGTCTGCCTGGGTCCGGATTCCAGCCTCTGAGCCACAAAACCGCAAAAAAACACAAAAACGTAAAAAAACGTATAAACCATATACTGCGGAGCAGCTTCCCCCAAGCCAGCGATCCCAAAACCGCAAAAAACCGTATAAACCGTTTAAGCGGTATAAACCGTAAAAGCTTTTTACGGTTTTATACGTTTTTTTTACGTTTTTTTTGCGGTTTTGTGGCTTTTCCTGGCTGGGGCCAGGCAGAGCCCAAATCGCAAAAAACCGTATAAACCGTATAACCTGTCACGGTTTGTGTGGTTTATACGGTTTGATTGGTTTCCTTGTAGGTGCAATAAGAAGACACTACACAAGGAGACAAAAACAACAAAAGGCGATGAAGGCAAAACGACAACCAAGCAAACCGAAAATCGTACTTCATGGAGAGTCGGGAGCGGTTACCGCAATGCCACACCTGATGGAAACGATATTTTTAAAACGAATATGAGCGATAAAGAGGACATTGATACTGTTGATACAGGATTTGGTTCACGAAAGGCTACTCCCGAAGAATGAATTGAAAAACTTGAAGCAGAAGTAAAAGAACTCAAGAAGTATCGTCAGTCAGAGCACATGGATTAAAGTATTTAAAATTTCAACGCAATATATAATTGACAGTGTATAGTGACCCAGACCAAATTGGAAGAAGGAGAAGAAAAATAACCCCCTGCAGTCAAATGAGTCCCCTACTGCATATTTATAGATGGACGAGAGAAAGGGGAGAGTATCTTGATACATCTATATTATTTGATACACATAAGATGTATCAGTTAAGTAGTTTGATGCATCGTTAAATCTTAAGGAAAATGGATATATCATAACATTTCGTTATGTTATGATATATTTTTTATCACCTAATTATATAATGCTTGTTGTATTTGGAGAAGCAAAAGAGGTCAAAGAACATCTGATTGAATGCAAAAGGTGCAAAAAAGAGTATCCGAGTAATTATTTTGTGATTGTCAGCAACAATAGTTATTCATCTAACTGTAAGAACTGTAGAGAAGACTTAAGAAAGGAAGGCGAGAGGAGGAAGATTCAGAAGGTCTTGCATACGCGTTAAAACTTTTAAAACTTGTAATCTCGGTTTGTATATATGAGTGATTGCTCGGCAGAAATCAAAAGTCCTATCAAGAAATTAAAGGAAGAAGTCAAAGAGTTGAAGGAGCTAGTTAGCAGTCTTGTTGAAAGGGTTGTCAAGTTAGAAGGCAATAAGGAAAACATCAAACCTAGCAACAAAAACCTAATATTATGGATGCTAATTATAATAATCGCAGGAGTGCCTATATAAGCAAACTTAATAATAAAGACATCAAGCAACCCAAGGAAGAAACAATGAAATATTATAATGTTGTGTATGATGCTGATAAGAACTTTTATTGTTGAACCATTCAAGGAAGAAAGTATTTAAAGAAATAACGACTATATACATATATTAGTGTGAAAATGAGTTTGTTCAACTTTGATGAGAAGTGTTATGTATGCAAATGTCATAAGGATAGAAAGGCAATTGTCTTAAATCTTATCTTTCCTAGTAACATAGCTAATATTGTTTCATATTTGAGTTGTTATACATGTTCCAAATTGTGGAAATATGAGTTAGAATGTGAAAAGGAAGAATATAAAGACTATACGAGAGAGGCAAAGTTGTTTAATTTTATCTACAACAATCTAGACACGAAATACAAAGAGCTAAAAAATTGAAAGATAAGAAAACCTATATGAAAGAACTAATTAGGAATTCGGAAAGTTGTAAAGAAGGTATGCTTGTAAAGTGTGTTAATGAAACTTATTATTTGAACGGGTTTGATGAATATAAACTATGGTTTTCTAAATCATGCCCTGTTATGAAATATTCTGTCTTTGACGATTCCGACCTAGATGATGATTTTAATTATAGGAATGATGAGATGCTTGTCTATGATGTTTTAAAACATCTATTCTATCTATACATACAACATAATGCTAGAGGATATAAAAATACTTTGATTATATTGAAGTTATAACGTGGGTACAACGTCATTTTTAGGTAAAGCAACGATAATATTATTTATCAAATAATATTATGGTTGAAACCACCACAAACAAGACCTTGTTTCATCTACTGCCCCCAAGCCCTGAAATACGCGAAGCATTGCCCCCGAAATCCCTAAATTTACCATACATTCTATCAACCCCCTCACGCCTGTTGGGAAGATGGATTTTAGAAAGCTATATTTGATTAAGCTTATTTAATATAGGTGTAAAAGTGTAGGGGGGGTACGGGTTGCAAGACTATCTTACCGACAGGCGTGAGCATTTCTAACTGTCTCATGGGGGTGGTGACCGCACAGCTGCTTTGTTGACCCGGCATCGGAAAGTCGGAGGCTTACTCCCTGCTTGAAAAACGAAGCAAAAACGTGCGCACATATCTATAACAGCTATCAGCCCTAGCTATAGCCAAATCTCTATCTGCATCTGCATGGATGCTTCTGCATGCACTATTTATGTTATTTTATGCACGTCAATGTATGCATACTCATTCAATGATCAAGTTCGGCAAGTTCTCAGGTCACGAGCTCGGGCAAAGATCGTGCAATCATGCAGGGCAAGCAATGGACGGTTCTGCACACCTCAAGCAATTCCTCGGAAGGGCAAGCTACGGCGGAACGCCAGTCATCGAAGCGGCGCAGTATGGAAATGCAGAGTGTCTCCTACCTGCACTGGCAATTAAGCAGTGTGGTGGGGAGACTTCGACGGTTCAGTTCAGCAGCTTGGCTTTTCGGCTCGTGTGGTTGCATTGTGGGCAGGTCCAGTCGCAACAAGGCTTAGGTTTTGATGTTTGTTGAGTTGTTGAGCTCGCACTTAGGCACGTGCATGCCTCGGAAGGCTCCACCTCCAGTTGTAAAGCAGTCAGCAGTCTACGAATTTCCTGGGGAGACCAAATTGACGGAGAGCGAGAGAGAGAGAGAGAGAGAGAGAGAGAGAGAAAGAGACAAAAAAAGAACACCCTAAGGTTTGGAGAACAGAGCAGAACAGGAAAAAAAAGAGCGCGCCACGGGCGTAGGTCTTCGGGCCAGGGGTTCTAGGCCCACACACCCCTAGCAAGCAAGCAAGCAAGCAAGCAAGCAAGTGAGAGAGAGACCAAGAAGCAATCCCCGAAAGTACATATCCGGAGACTCGGAAGTGCAAGGGCAGCCAAGACACGAATAGTAGAGATTCCTACATCCGTTCAAGCAGCAAGGTAGTCAAGAGTGGTATGTAGAACCTAAGGGTTCACAGGGCAACAAAGTGCTGTGAAGTGAACAGGATGATTATACACAGCTAGAAGCCCAGGGCAATCAACATTGGCACTTGCACAACAGTACCCAGACTGAAGAATGATCGTTGCCACAGCATAGTTCTTCGCATCAGCATCGCCCTGAAAATCAGTTGTCGTCGTCCACAGCAGCAGAGCAGCAACAGCAGCACGCTTCCAACCCTGAGGTAGTTTATTGGCCGGGACCAAGTCCATCCATAAGCTAAGTTCCAGCTCCAGGCGTCCGGGTGCTGCTGCAAGCCCCAAGGCTGGACTTGACCATCGTCGAGGACCGCTGAGCTGTCAGCACGAAGCGCTGGATCCTGAGATTCTCTCGGCCGGTACTACAGCGGCCTTTTGGATCCAACGATTCTTCCAGGAACTTCGAGGTTACCATTCATGTACCATCGTGCGACACTCTGCCGTAGTGCAGGACGGCAAGAATGCTTTGGAGTGGGCCCGTCATCCAGAATCACTGTGCCACCCCCATGGAGGCCATGCTCAGGTCGAAGACTCTCAGCACAAGCAGGGGCATTCATCTTGGATCCAGAAATGTCTGTCCACCTGGTTGAAACAGCGGCCCAGTCCAGTCCTAGTCTAGATGTCTTGTTGCGGTCAACGCCAAGCTAGGAGTCAAGGTATGATCTGCCATAACCATGCTGCCAGAGGAGCCTTACCTTAGCCTCTAGCAATCCTCCGGCCTTCCAACATGTCATGTTGTGTTCCGACTTTTGCGGTCTTGTGTGGCTTATGACGAAGAATGTCATTCTCGATTACACGAACGCACTGCGTACACGGTCAGTTGTCCTCCCCGACAGTGGAGTTCCATGTACCGCCACTTTACGGGGACGTGCTTTCTGAACCGTGAGTGCCCAGGAATTGCTCGCGCCACACATGATGAAGTCATGAGTGGCAGCTGATGGCCCGATGTAGGCTTGAGTTTCTGCGGGCGACCGAGTCCGTTATCAAGTCTCCACCTCCTCGTCATGCCCTACATCGCACGGCACAGTAGGAATTGAAGCGGGCTGCCAAGCAGTCAGCGTCGTCCGACTGTTGGAAGGAGGTCCGGCTTTGAATTGCTCTTGAGGGCAGTTGCATACTTTGACAGGAATCTACAGACTCGGCAACATCCTCAAGAGATAGCTGCCTATAGAAAGGCTATTTTAGAAGGGCATAGGGGGGTGAAGCACGGTTTGCACTGTGAAGTGGTTTTTCGGTGTATCACCGAGCCCTAAGGGTAGATGCAGGGTTGATGGCTGTCAAGAGGGCAGAAGTGTGATTCAGCGTGATGACGTTGATCTGACTTCGTTCCACGGCGGCAAACCAAAAAATGCACGAACCCCGGCCCTAGATACCCTTTCAACAGAGGGGGGAGTTGCGACTGTAGCGCCACCAGCGAGGAGGTCTGAGAAAGCGTGCTAGTTCCATTCGGACTGCTTGCAAGACTTTGGTTTGAGTCTTCGGCTTTGAGCTCTTGCTCCTCTAAGGGAGCATGCAGCAAGCAGAAGTGAAGAGTGATACGGATAACATCGCAAGATGCCGACTGTCCTCTGCTTCGACTCTAGATCAAACACAGCAAGCGACTGCAAGTGCACAGATATAATTGCTGTATTGTTCTAATTAGTTATCTGCCGCAGTGGAGCGGCGAGCACCTGGCAAGCCTCGTTCTGTATCCTCACAAACCCTGCGCAACCCTCACAGAGCTGCTGAAACAAGTGCTTTGTCACAGCTCTCTGCCGGGAGGCGTCATGGCGACGGCACTCAACACGTTGGCAGCTGGAGCTCTGAGAGCAAGTTGAGGATCTAGCGGGCCAGAGACAAACTGGTTGAGGAGACGCCCTGGATCCAGATTGGCCTGGCTCGCAAGGTTGCAAAGAGTGAGTCGGCCTGAGCTGAAGAAGACCGCCGCAACTGTCAGCCCGATGCTGCGGAACTGTGCACAGGTGTTTGTATCCAAAGTGGCCGATGTAGACGCTATTTGGGCAGAGGTGGTGACCACCGATACAAGAGGAGCAGAGACGGCTGGCTCACTGCATTCGCAAGTTGTGAGTCAAGGAAAACCTTCAGGATTCGTAGAGTCGTAGAGTTTGCTGTGTCTCGCTTGTGCTGCCTCGAGCATTCCGCTGCTGTGGTCTTGTTCGTGTGCGTGCTACGGTCATGGCCGCGAAACTCATGATCCGAGATGCTTACTGCAACGACGACAGAAGATAAAGGACTGATCGGAGCATGCCAGAACTCAACTTCGCGGAAGGATTGCATTTCTGGGATTCCACCTCGGTCGGTTCAGAACGGTGTAGCTTGGCCGACGACGTCTGTTAAACTACATGTACCTGTATGTCATGTACATGCACCTAGTTGCGCATAAACCTGCATACATAAATTTAAAGTCTAAGGTGAGACATCGATCTTTACGAATACGGCAAAATGGCTCCCTGAGGGCGACGCTTTCTGTAAGTTTAAGTAGTTTGATTGGTTATGAAGAACACTGCTCCTGATTCTGGAGTTGTTCCTGACGTGGCATAGTCGTTCCATGTTGTTCGTGGGAGCATGTTCACGCAACTGTGCAGGTGCACGCATGTGTGCCTGTTTGTGATTGTTTTAGTCAGAATGGTTTCTTGGTTAGTTTGAACTTTGCTTGCTTGTTTAGTGGGCCACTCGCTGTGCGATTTCGCAGAGCCAAGTCGACAGCCAAATGGGTCCGTTGGACCCTGCGCAGTCTTGAAGCATTGAAGTACCTGCTCCCCAGATAGGCGGCGGACGCTCATACGTACATCCGAACTCGAGACTCCTGTTTTGTTGACCGCCCGGGAGCACGAGGAGAACAAACGCCGCCCGAAGGGTTACTGTATCGTTGGTTGGGAGAGACCATATGTTTGCTGACAGTGCGCAGTTCTTTGGGTCAGTCGTAGATGCTACGCAGGCCAACCAGCATATGCCAACTTCAAATGCTTCCATGTCACCTGTGCGTTTCCGATTCTTGTCTACCTGTAGTCACCGTACTTGCCCACATGCGAAGACTGGATATAAACATACTTAAACCTCGTTCAATATACACACCTTCAGCCAGACCCTCCTATGTAATCGAAACATGAAGTTTGCATCCTCTTGGAACCACAGCTTAAGATTTCTTCGGGGACACGTCTTGAACGGACAGAGCTTGTGTGCTCCGAGGAATAATGTTGTGTTTATGATTATAAGAGTCACATGAGTCAGTTCCTAACGTAACGAATTCAGCATGATCTTGTGCGAATCGCACTCCACAGGGCTTCGGTGAGCCACGGCTGATACATTCGCGTTTTATTCTGTCAATCTGCACTTTCGAGGTGTCAACCACAGTGCGAAAGGAGCTTCTGGTTCCGATTTCCAAGTATACTGCGAAGTGCCGAGATATCCTGACGCGGCTGACATGCCGAAAGCACAAAAGCATCTGTAACTCTTAACTTTGCGGCCGGAAAGTCCAAGCGACAGAACGGCGGCACGTCGGTTTGAACCAACTGGCCCAAATGCGTGAAGTCGAACCGCAGGCTCACCAGCCGCCGCAACTCCCACTCGGCGGTGAAGGACAGAAACATGCCGGGCTCCGTGGTGAGGTTTCATGGCCACAAGCTAAGCCTGTGCTGCAACATGATGGCACTCGATGCTTAGGGCCTAGTGTTTGGTGTCTGCAGGAGGCCGAAGGCAGATTCGATGGGTCGAGGATATCGCTCGGAGCCCCAACCAAGCAATATGCTGTGGACGGACAAAGACTTCGGGTGCCTTTTGTTGCACTGCCGGGAGTGCAACAAGCAGTGAAGTGTTTTTTTGGTTGCAGGATTCACGGACCCTTAAGCCTTTAGACCTTAGGCTTCAGCGAATATGGCGCGCGGAGCGAGTAGTGAGTAGCGAATGGACTGGGGCGAAGGCCAAGAACTCGGAAAACCGGCAACAGTGACTGAATCCATCAGCTCTTTAGGCGGTCTATCCTGAGGCCCCCTGTCCCAAAACTTCGAGATTCGAAAGACAAGGGCACGAAACACAGCCGTGGAAGAGTTGCCAAGCTACTTCAGGTAGCCCCACGCGAAGCAACAAACATGGCAACAATGCAACTTTTGGACTTTAGTAAACAAAAGCTGGGCCTAAGATCCCGAGATGGCCAGACAGATGCTGAAGACCCGCTTGTGGTCTCTAGAGCCGGTTTGCCCATCGCACCGAGACTCGCTTCTATAAGATCGGCGCCAGCGTCCGGAGCCCAAATTGAAGTCCTCATACGGCATGGGGCAAGTCCCGGCTGGATGTTTTGCGTCGGTTCCCTTCAAGGCCACGAGGCAGACCTAAGCAGACTTGGAGGTAGCATCAGCTGAGGGTGCTGAAGTCAAGGTGATGCCGTCCTGCCACAGCGGCATGGAGATACGGCATGCCACACGTGCCACGTTGGGCGAGGCTGCCGGTGATAGTCAGGGATAATCCTGATGAATGTTGGCTTGAGATTTTGTCCCAGCAGGAATTGGAGGTTTTTCGTGCCAGTTCCTTGCCACCTTGCAAAGCAAGAGCCTTTTACGATCGAAGATGCATGTCCTGAGGGAGGTTGTTCCCAGCTTCATTGCAAGGCATGAAGTGACTGTGCTCATCCTCTTCCCTAGGTTGTCCCAAGCAAAGTCGGCACACCACTGAAAGTCAGAAGCTCTCTAGTTACATAGGCCGTCCCGCGGTCAGCATTTTTATTACGATCTTCTTCGTGGCTAACTTCGCTCCTGTTTTCCAAACCATGAACCGGTCAGCACGCGTGTCCGCTCTTTCCCCTTGTGACCTTACAGGAGAGCGCCTCAACTGAATCGCATTCCACTCAGCTTTCTCAGTCTTGACGGTTGGTTGAAGTTTGGTCAAGTGACGTGCTTCGGAGAGACTTCATCCTGTCGTGCAGTTCACGAACTCTCGTGCATAGCTGCTCCATGAACCTTGCGAGACGTAGAGTCTTGTAGGCTGACTTGTGAGATCTTGCAGGTTTGCTTTCTGTGATTTTGTGATGCTTCGTGCGAGAGCGCACTGCGGAGCTGCAGGCTCCCCGAATCGAACAATGCGAATCCGCATCCTCAGAAGCCCTTCAGCATGATGAAATTCTCGCCGGTTGCTCCTCACAATCCTGAGATCCGAGCGCTTGCTGAGGTTCGTGGTCAAGCTCCGGTATAAGAACAAGAGCTTCCAGGGGAAGAACGAAGAATCGAGATGGCGAAACAACACGGACATTGCTTTTCAGAATCGCTTGCTCCGGCAATCTTTCACGGCACTGGTCGCGGCATTCTCATACAGTAACTCATACAGTCAACTAGAGATACAAGCTTTGCTGCAGGAGCTGATCTTGAACATGCCCCAGACGAATGGCGTTGCTCGTCTCATCGACGTCGTGGAGGCATCTCCAACTCCACTGATGCCGCATGAGGTTGTGGGCTACGGCATTTCTGCGAAGATTTCAGGCTTGATTTCGTGGTCCTTTCAACCTCCATTTTGGAGCTGCCGAGATGCCTGAAGCTGCTGGAGAATCAAGAGTGCACATCGCGAACGGTGTGATCCCATTACATTTCCTGCATACCACCTGCAACCTGTGAGCCTTGCTTGCCATTGCCTGCGATGCGGAGCCAGAAATCTTTAACATGCGAACACTGAAAGTCTGCGCCTTGGACAGGACAGCAGGGCCTACTACGTGGTGATGGAGCGTGCGGGAGGCAATGTTGTTGTGTGCCATAGATTTATAGCGCAGAAGGGCTGAAGGCACGGACTCAGCATCAGTTTGGCGTCAGGCGAGGGTCGTTGGCCTCCCTCAGAGCCTTAGAAGTGTCCATATCTTGCACTTTCAAGCAATGCCACATCGATGCTTTGCAGGCGTAGCTGCTGGCCAACCCTAGATCCGGAATAGGGCACCAGACGCCCTGCTAGCCGAAGAAGCAGAGATCGTTGAAGCCCGTGGCGCGAAGGTTGTGACCTGTACGAGTGTCTATCGGGCGTAGGGCTCTCAGCCAGACATGAGCGCTGTGGTAAATCAGCGACCGTCCGTTTGGTCTGCTAGCTTGCGATGCCAATGCGCCGAGCCCAAACACATCCCTGTCAAGCTTAAGCCCACCCCTTCTGTACGTCGAGGCACCTGAACGACGGCTGCCTCCCCACGAGGCCTGAAACCGGGAAATGGGCCATAGTAGCACCACGAAGAGAACAAGAATCCTCCGATACTGCTCGAGCTTCCAATTCATGTTATTGGCTTTCAACTGCTTATAAACTCACTGTGGAGCAGATAGCATCGTTGCTTAAGGCACCAAGGATACCAAGGTACAACATGCACAAGCACAGTACAAAGATGTAGAAACAGAATATCAGTGTATACATCCGAAACATATGTTAGACGATAGTGATCGAGGGGTGCTTAAAGAAGTCGTGGAGGCATTTGTCCGCGTGTGCCGCCTGAGCATGGCGTTTTTTTGCGTCGGCTTTGGCTGAGGAGTTGTAAGTGAGTACTGCACCCAGATAATCTGCGTGCGGCTTAGGTTCTATACGTAAGTCTTTGGGAAGGTATGGGGAATCCTTAGCTTGGCAAAAGCCGCACTGGCAAGGATGGTGTGGAGAATCTATAAAATAAACTGGGACATCTGTGTTGATAGCCAACAACTGGCATTTGTCATATTATAGTTAAGGGACATTCCTCTCTTGACGGCATGTGCCTGTAAAGTACAAGTATGAAGAAAGCCATGGAGGGATAATCTCGTCCGAGATAGTAGAACTGCATCGTCCGCATATTCCAAATCGGTAAGTCGAAAGACAGATGTTAGAACGGAAGGTCTAGGACCTTGTTCCGTAGTGTATTCTTGTAAGTTCCATGGAAAAGAACCGACAAGGTTACTATAAACAGGTAGGGTGATAGTGGGCATCCTTGCCGGATGCCCTGTGCCGATGTTTGGAGCGAGAAATATGTCCGGATTCCTGTACATGGACAAAATTGGCTCGGCGAGGGGTGTTGGTGATTCTGTGCCCAAGTCCCAACTGTTGGGGCGGATCTAGCATCGAACTGCACATAGCATAGTCGCAGCTGTCATTGAACGGTATCCTGCCTGCAAAAATGCGATGCATGACAGAGTCTGAGCTGATCTGAACCTTCGTGTCTCGTGATGCTGAGACGTAAACCCAAACACCCATGTGCACATACGTTTCCTTTCATGACGCAAGGCCAAGGAGGTGCTCAAGGAACTCCTTACAGCACCTTGGATATGCCTAAGAATCCCGAGGGTGTTGCTGACATGTATAAACTCGTGTCTGGACGTTAGCCATTGGCATGTACGCCTATCAAGGCCGGTTGGTCGCGGGCTGCGTGCATTGGATAATTCTGAGGCAGTCGCAGAGCTTCATGCGCATGGCTTCATCCACAAGGCGCTGGGAGACTGTCGATGGTGATGGTAGCAAGCCAGCTGTGTTTTAAGCCCTGGAGAAGCGCGAGAGACCAGGTTTCTGACATCCGGAGCGTTTTTGAACTTCCCGGTTCTACTCCTGGTCGGAGGACCTGAAGCTGGAGAACGTGATGCTCAACAAGCCTGGACCAAAGTGCACGGTACTCAGCAGACAGACTTGGCAGTGGGTACGGCTATGTTTTTTCGTTGCGACGTTAACCTTGGTTTCAGGTCCTGCGCACATTCGACGAAATCTGGCGACCAGCACAGGGCCGAGCCAAAACTTGTGTGGCAGTTTACTGTCTCCGGCATTTCTGCAACCATGTTCATGCCCAGACACACTGCAGGCATGTTGTGTTCAGGACTCCAATGATGGAAACCTAAAAACCCTCCCACCTCGCACCCACAAGACCAAAGACTTAGCAAGCACCTAGTAACACTCTAATTCTTGCCAAGGCCTTCCGAAGCACTTAATCCTCGCCAGGAGATAAACTCTTAAAAAGTGCATGGCTTGCTGAGCCTGTGGTTTCCTAAGAATGTCCTGGGTAAGAGGGGCAGTGCCCTCCAAACGAACGGGAAGCTTCTTCGCCAACATAACACTGACTACGAGTTGAACTGGAGCCTACACCGGGCGCAGCCAAAGGTCCAGGTGCTGGTGCCAAAGCCTCAGCATGCTCAAAGGGCTCGGAAGGTTGGGGTTTGGAGATTGGGGTCGTTGATAGTGGCGAGTTTGGTGGTTGTGGGAACTTGGAATGCAGGGTTTGGAGTTTGGGGGCTTCGGAGAACAGAGCCGCAACCTGCATTGAAAGTTTCGCCCAACAAGGTCAAGCTAATCGACTTTGATACGGTTGAAGAGTGGCTTGGCCCTCAGCGACCGCTGCGGGATGCCGTGGTTAAAGACCTGGATGCTTCTGATCCCAAACCGTTTCTTCCCAAGATTTTGGGGCCTGGTACAACCCTGCATACAATGCCCAAAGCCTGCTGATTCTTCAACTCCACGCCTCCCTCGCGATCTGGAGGAAATCAACAGGCCCCAAGTCCAAGCACGTGCTGGGCACTGACCAGTACATCGCGCCGGAAGCCTACGAAGGCCAGGGCCTACAGAGTTTTTCAGGGATCTGGGGTCGCCGTCTGGACCTTCTAAACAACATGCAGGCAAGTATTCGCCTGCCTCCGACATTTTTGCCGTGGGGGTCATTGCCTACAAGATTTTGACTGGACGGGTCCTCAGCCTCCTCGGCGTCCACGAGGGTAGATTGGCAGTTGTTGGAAACAGCCTGCGCAATCACTCTTCGGCCTGTACGATCCTTCATCATCGAGTGAGTTGGCTGTGTGGCTGAGTGACTGCACTCTCCGAAGGCTGCGCATAAGACTTGAAGCGGAAGGGAAGAACTCGCTTTACAGCCTTACAGTGCATGCCGGCCAGGTATGAGGAAATGTCGAGACCTGAAACCCCAAACTCTCGCGACACTTTTGGTCGTCTTAGGCTCATTCCCGTATAACGGGCGCCTTTTTGACGACAAGCCCGGCCGGTGTCTGAGATCACGGAGTTTTCGTGGTCTACACGTTTATCGAGTTCGATTTGGGGCTCGAGGTGTTTGGTTTAGTCTGGACCCAGTGCCGCACATCATCCTTACTCAGGTGAGAACTGGGTCGGATCACCCAAGATGAAAGAGATCCGGCAGAAGCTGTGCGATGCAAGGCAGCTTCCTTGCTGTAGGCTTGTTTGTGGAGCAGGGGCCGACAAAACATCCCCTTGGTTCAAGCGCCTGTTTGGGCAGCTTCCCCTCCGCCCAGGCAGTGTGTAAAGACACTCCCGGGTGGATCCCATGCATAGTCTTAGTGGCGCAGCGGCCCGCGAACCTCTGGAGTCTGTGGGACGATGGCATCAGACAAGCTCTTGGAGAACTTGCACGAGCCTTCTTGCAGAAACTTCCGGCATAGGAGAAGCCTAAGTGGTAGATCGCATGCGACGAAGCGCAGTATGCACAGTCTACTACAGTACCGAAGTCATTGTCCCAGATGCAGAGCATTTCGGAGCTGGATCTACGAAGGGTGGGGATGCAAACTTTCGTTCGCGAAAGCTCCGACAATCAGGGAAGACTCGTGTTGCACTACGTGTCCACAAGAGATGCCATAGGTTGACATCGATTTCTTTGTTGCTGAAACGCTGCTCTTGAGGATCGGATGCGCAACGAGAGCTCGGCAGCAGAGACGGACACTGGATTGCAATGAGTCAACATGAATCAAGACAGCACATGCTCGTCTCCGATCGCCTCTCAGAGCCCGCACCTGAGAAACCCGAAGACTCCAACCCAGGAATGGGCAAATGCCACACGTGTGGTCACGGCAGCACGGGCCAAGGACGATGAGCTGAGGGCCGAGGTTTCCAGCCTTCGGGGCCCCAGGAACATGATGGGCTTCGCTGCTTGCTGCACCCAGAACCTTTTGCCCTGACAGGTCAAGTGGCGTGCAGCGGAAAAAACTGCGGCCGAGCGCGCGGCATCTGAGGCCAAGACACTGGCGATGCTGCCAGCTTGGGCTTGTGCTAGTGACTGCTACTGTGCATAGTCGTGGGGCAAACTCGCAGGCAGAATCCCGGCACCAGATGGCCAAGGAAGCCTTGGCACAAGCAGAAAAGCAATGCTCCACAGCTGCACAGAGCAAAGGCTGAGCAAAGCTACATTGCGGCTTCGGCGCGCAGTCACGGCACTGAATGGGTATTGGCTCGTGACGGGTCGTAGGGATGCAAGGCATGAATGGAGGTCAGTGATGCGGGCGTCGTGCACCCGCCCCTCCAGAAAATTTCAGTCGAGCTGAGAAGCCACGCCAACGCAGGGAAGCACCCATAGAACCGCTGCATTGCCAATACCCGGGCCTTGCAGGCAAGTGGTTAGACTCTCCAGGGGCATTTGCATACTCGTCCAAGACAATGGCAAAGCTGTTGCGGTTCGGAGCCGGCTCGCTGCTAAGATGCTCATATGTTGATCGGGCCACAAACGACTGCGTGCCCGTGACGACTTCGAGACCAAGAGCCAGAAGACCCTCGGAAAACTCGTCCTCTGACCCCTGACCCCATCCTTTAGCAGCCACCTCAACGCAACTGGACAGACATGCACAGACACCTTTCCTATGTCTTGTGAGCCCCCGTCAATTGCTCGGAAAACTGTGGCAAGGTATGCTCGCCGCCGCAGCAGCAACGCAAAAGCAGAACTCCCTGCGACAGCTTGCCGAGTTTGAGTCCGCCATACAACTCCAGGTTTCTGGGCATGCGGATTTGGGGGAAGAGACCCGCTTACTGTGACGAGGCGAAGCTCGCAGAGCAGGGCAGGGCAGAGCTCCAGCATCTGGACTGCACTTGACCTTGAAAGCTTGGGCCGGGTGCGATGCCAGTCGCCACTGAGATGCACACCTGCTAAGGGATTTCTAGCCAAGTGCAAAAATCTGCTAAATCTCATGCGACATCGTGACCGTGATGCTTCGTCGTAAACCCTTTCAGTATGCTGCATAATTTATGTCGTCCTGTTTTGAAATGTTCCTCCGGCTAGGCAAATCAAGTCCGAAGCCAGTGCCCGGCAGCAAGAAGTGCAGACTTTGCGTCAGGATACTTGAGGGTTCTCGGGTCTCGGGCTGCCGCATGTCTCTGCAGCAGCAATGCTGGCACATGCTGGCACTATCGGAACATTCTGCATGCCATGTCGGGTCAGGTTAGGCCTTAAGCAGGCTCTCCACCAACAAGAGTTCCAAAGCTGTTGAATACTGGTACAGCCTGACCTGAGTGGTTGAACATCGCTTCAGTTTTGGAGCGTGTATGGAGGACTTGCGCAAGCTCCGAGAGTTGTATGACGAGAAGTGCCAGCGTCAAGTTGCAGCTTGTCTGATCGAGCCAGCATGGCCAAGTTGATGGGGCGAGAGATGTCGCGAGGAACATTGTAGAGAGAGTCGAAGGCGAGAGTTTTTGTAAGAACACCGTCTCGGCACCCGTGGCCTTACGGTTTTCAGTTGTAAGCCTTTCCGCTTGGGTGCAGCGAGCCTCGCTTGCAAAGTACACGATGCCATTTGCCCCTTGGAACAAGACGTTTCGTATCGGAGAATCGAAGGGTTGGACTGCCTTGCAACGAGCTTTGGCTTGACCGGAAAAGGAGTTCACGAAGGAGCACGATGCACTGGCACAGCAGCTTGAAGCCATCCGTTCCCTAGCTGGAATTTTAGACCACAACCGGTTGCCTTCTTATGCTTCGCGAAGCCTCTTCGCTAAGGAGCAGAATTGAAAGCAGCCAAAACGAACAATGCCGAGCTCCACACCAGCCTACGCCAGGAGAAGGCGCTTGATACGGGATAGACGGGATAGAATCACGAGAGAGAGAGAGAGAGAGAGTAGCCATTTTGGCTCAAGGTGCCTTCAACGACTTCCCGAACTTCCTGGTTTTCGCTAGCTCAAAGGGGGGCTTGGGGCGGGGGGGCATCCGACCTGTGCCGTCGGGGGTGCTCGCCCCGACACCCGCCTTCCTTCAACGTAAAATCTAGCTGGGGAAATAGGTGCCTGAAGCCATAAAGCTCATCCCAGAGATCGCGACACTTTGACGACTTCGCCGAGAGTGTGACTGCAAGATCGCCCTCATCCTCGCTTTCGTGGGGGACCTTAACCAGGCCTACATCGTCGAGGTCTTACAGTTCCTCGAGTGTTCGGTGGAAGACTGC